CGTATTTATAGATGATATCTTGGTGTATTCCAAGACCCGAGAGCAGCACGAGGAGCACCTCAGGGACTTGTTGGGATTTATGAGGCGAGAACGGCTGTATGCCAAGTTCTCGAAGTGTGAGTTTGGTTACGAGAGGTCCAGTTCCTTGGACATCTCGTTAACCAGGAGGGGATTTTGGTCGACCCGGCCAAAATCGAGGCAGTCATGCAGTGGGAGGTGCCGAAATCTCCTTCAGACATCAGGAGTTTTCTGGGATTAGCAGGGTACTACCGAAGATTCATTCGGGATTTCTCCAAGATTGCATTACCCCTCACTCTTCTGACGAGGAAGGGTGTGGATTTCCGGTGGGGCCCCGAGCAGCAGAGAGCGTTTGAGACCCTCCAACATCATTTGTGCGAGGCTCCAGTTTTGACATTCCCGGAGGGAGTTGAGGATTTTGTGGTGTTCTGTGATGCATCCATCACAGGCTTGGGGGCGGTTCTCATGCAGAGAGGACGAGTGATAGCCTACACATCGCAGCAGCTGAAGCCGCATGAGATGAGATACCCTACGCATGATTTAGAGCTGGGAGCGGTGGTGTTCACTCTCAAGATATGAAGACATTACCTATATGGGGTCCGTTGTACCTCATATACGAATCACAAGAGCTTGAGACATATCATGGATCAGCCGAACCTGAACATGAGGCAGCACAGGTGGCTGGATGTAGTCAAGGACTACGATTGCGAGATCCTTTACCACCCCGGTAAAGCGAATGTGGTGGCGGACGCTCTGAGCCGCAAGTCAGCTGGGACTTCCACCCCAGCGGTATGCATGAGGATAGCAGTGGATTCTCCACTTGTGAGTTTGATCAGGGATGCTCAGGTGGAGGGCATGCGACCAGACAATTGGAAACCGGAGAGGATCAAGGGCGAGAACGCCCGGTTTGTGCAGGATAGCCGGGGGTTGTTCACCCGATGCGGTCGGGTATGGGTTCCGATGTCTGGTGGGGTCAGACAGACAGTTATGGAGGAGGCTCACAAGTCTCACTTTTCTATTCACCCGGGGGCCACCAAAATGTATAGAGACCTGAGTTTGAGTTACTGGTGTCCATGTATGAAGCGAGAAATCGCTTGGTACGTCGAGAGGCGCTTGACCTATAGGATGGTCAAGGCTGAGCATCAGAGGCTGCATGGTAAGCTGCAGCCCTTAGAGATTCTCATGTGGAAATGCGAACAAATCACGATGGATTTCATTACCAAACTGCCGAGGACGGCGAAGGGGTTTGATGCTATATGGGTCATCGTAGATCGATTGACCAAGAGTGCTCATTGCTTGCCTATACAGAAGAGTTACGCCGACAGACGCCGATCTGAGTTAGAGTATTAGGTGGGTGATATGGTACTCCTGAAGGTCTCACCCTGGAAGGGTGTGATCCGCCTCAGGAAGAGGGGGAAATTGGGTCCCTGTTTCATTGGGCCGTTCAGGATCATTGCCAAGGTTGGCAAGGTGGCATACAGGCTAGAGCTACCGGAGGAGCTTAGCCGGATCCACAACACTTTTCACATTTTGCAGTTGCGAAAGTGCATTATGGATCAGGAGGCAGTGGTGTCATTGGATGATATTCAGGTCGATGAGCGCCTGAATTACATGGAGAGGCATGTGGCTATTCTAGAGACGAAGAAGAAGGTTCTAAGGAACAAGGAGATACCTTTGGTAAAGGTACAGTGGGAGCATCGGAGGGGGTCCGAGTGGACGTGGGAGCCCGAGTCCGAGATGCGGGAGCATTACCCGGGTCTATTTGCTGCGGCAGACTTCGAGGACGAAGTCTAAGTCAAGTGGGGGAGAATTGTAACATCTTCAAATTTGGCAGGTATTTCCGTACCCTCTTCTATCATTACCTTGTCATTTATGTTCCTTGGGGGTTGGAAGTGAAGAGCCAAGATAAGTTTAGGGACCAAGTTTGCAAACTTGGGCCAAAAGGGAGTACGCTGCGCGTACATAAGAGTACGCTAAGCGTATTAAGGTCCGCCTTAGTACGCTGGGCGTACTAATGTCTGGGTGAAACCCTAATATTTAGGGTTTGAGGCCTATATAAACAACATTATGAGCACCAGAACCCCCTTACCTCAGCCTCCACAGTTTACATTCGTCCTCCCTAAACCCTAGCCTCTCCTTTATGTGTTTAAGCTTACTTGTTGTGTTCTTGAGTGCTTAAAGAGGAAGTTATTGCATCAAAGAGTTGGAGAAGGAGATCTAGCTTGTGGATCTGAAGTTAGCTTGTGCTCAAGAAGCTCCAGAAGGTATAAAGTTCTAAACTTTATGCATATATGCATAGATTTCATCATTTTGCTTTATTAGAAGCATTTCTTGTCCTAAAAACCACAAGGTGGTGAATGTTGAGATTTGGACAAAAAGGACTGTCCTTCTAGACTCTTGAAGGGACCTTGAGTGATAAAAATGAGGTCTCATTAGCTGGATGTGTCCCATGCACAGAGAAATAAGGTCTTAATGGATTAAGACCAAACATTAAGAACTTTATGGACGTCCAAAGCGATAAAGTTCATGACTTTATAGATCCTAGGCATGTTAGGTCTCAGGATCTGAAGTTTGGGCTTAAGTGCTTAAGCCATTAAGCACTTAATAAGGTTTTGGCAAACTGTTGAGTACGCCCAACATACTGGGTCAACCACCCCAATGGTGGTCAACATCTGGACGAGTACGCCCCCGCGTACCAGAGGAGTACGCCCCACGTACGTCCTCTGTTGGGCCTTTGTCAAATGGGCTTTGGGTTTTGGGCTGTTTATGGACTAAATGGATTTGGGCCTTTGCTGGACTTTGTAAATAAGATGTTTTGGGACAGTTAGTGGTAGTGGATCATGGGGTTAGGCCCAATTAGGAGGTTGGGGCCCAATTTAGTAAATTGGGCCAATAATGGGCCTTATATATGGACCTTCAAGTTAAGGACTTGGTAATTGGGCCTTGGCCCAATTAAGAGAATGGACTTAATGAGTGGTGTGTACACTTAGTCAAGGAGGTTATTTCGGGAACTAACTTAGTATTTATTATGTGATAGTTCGGGATTCCAGGTGAGACAACAGTCAGAGACTTGCGGTACTTCGGCACTACTTGTGAGGTGAGTTACCTCAATATACTAAGGGGTCTAAGGAACCAAGGCCGGCCCATTGGATATGATATCCTAGCAGTGGTAGTATGTTGAGTAGCCAGTTAGGTAGATCTGTAGGACTACCTGTAGTATTATGTGATCATTTGTATGTGTATTAGTTGTGTTATATGTCGACATATTATGTGGGATTGGTTGAGGTGATACTGCTTCGTGCGGTAACCAACAAACCCGGGAGCATTCCAGATACGAGCTGAGGGCCAGGTGGGGCATGCCAGACTCGTACTGTGGGCTCAGGAGCATTCCAGATACGAGCTGAGGCAGACTCGTACTGTGGGCTCGGTGGCAATCCAGATGTGAGCTGTGGGCCCGGAAGGCAATCCAGACTCACACTGTGGGCCTAGGGGTAATCCAGTCTGTAAAACTGTGGACCCGGTACATGTTGTTATTTGTATATGTGTTATGTGCAGTGTATCGGTATTTTGGGGGAACTCACTAAGCTTTCGGGCTTACAATTTTAGTTTATTGTTTCAGGTACATCAGGGGATCGTGGCAAGGCGAAGACATGATCGTACAGCTCCTCATGTTTTATTTATGTTTCTGGGAAAAACTCTGATATAGACTATTTTGAAAACAAATCTGTAATAACTATTGTTTTTAAATGTTTTGAAAAGTTTTAAATCGGCTTGAATTTATGGGTGTTACAAACTATATAAGAAAGGCCGATAGATTTGATGAAACATTTAACATGACACAACAAGAATCTTATCATCCAACTGAAGCTGGTAATAGTAATGAAGCGCATGAAGAAGGTACAAGTACACGTCGTACAAATGATAATGATGTATATGGCAACGGTACGAGATATTATTGCGGAAGAGATAACGAGATCGTGAGGATGAATGTAATATGAAATTACGTATGATTTTTTAAGAATTATTTACAATATGCGTTTTAGTTTTCTATGAACATTATTTTTGAATGTTACCAAAAAAATTTACATTGTGTAAAAGGAAATTATATTATATATTTCCTCAAAAAATATTGAAAAAAAAATTATAAATTTAATCCAAAATAATGGTTCGTATTAAATATTATATGTAAAAAAGTCTAGATAATTAAATATGTCCCTTTTGGTCAGTTTATTGTATAAGTTAACCCAAACATTTTTTAAAAACCAAATTATTGATTTATTGACTTTTGCTATTATAAAAACTAAGTCAAACATTTTTTTTAAAAACTCATTTTTCCTTTTTCATAAGTTAATAAGTCCTTTTGGGTAATATGACTTTTTACCTTCAAAATGAACATCCAAACACTCTCGAAGCTTGCACGTTGCGGTCGAAGTTTAAACGGAAATTTTTGTTGAAAGTATTCTACTATAAACGGTAAAAAAACATTAACAGCCAGTTTAATAAAATTTTGCAAATCTAATAGAAATATATCGTTAGAAATGGCAAAGTTGTGATAATTAAAAATTACATAACTGCACATATACACCTAGCTACAAATGCCTAGAAAACTTATTTAAATGGGTGTATAATTTTTACAAGGGCAAATGTCATATTAGCACATCAAACTTATTGTGTTTGTTTTAAAAGGTCACTAAACTATTATTTTTTGCACATTAAAGGAATAAACTCTCATATGACCGTTTAATTACATCCTTTTACCGATTGTAAAATGTATGGAGCATATTTTCATGACATGGGCCTCCACCGTGGACTAGTACTGTTGCAATCTTAGTCCCCAATATTGCCAAGTCATCCTCGATGGTCCCCTTTATAAATTGAAGGGATACCCTAAATTCGTGTTCCCCACCCACTTTATTACCCTAATCCATAACCTTCGCATAATAGAGCCGATTTCGATCTTTTCTCACTTATAAATCAAGAAGATGGCCTCAGAACAAAGCTTCTCCTATGGTGGTTTCAGAGTTTCAGACCTAGACGTACTAACTGACCACGAGCTTCACGCCATGAAAACCCAAGTGCAGATTGAGGAAATGAGAGATGACATGCGACAGCAGCTTGGCGAGTTTAGGGAGGAAATACGGTACTTGAAAAAGATCGGGACCGTGATGGCTGCTGTTGGAGTTGCAGTTGCAGTGATGTCATTGATCGGGGTTCGTGTTTGCGTCGAAAGCTCTGGGTGGGGATTTTGGTGGATGTAGTTTAGTCAGTAGGTAGCACGATGGCGATTAGTGGTTTTTGGATTTTTGGGGTTGTCGAAGGTTGTTTGTTTTTGTCTAAGTTCGCCATCTGCTAGTATAATATGTATGTATTAGGGTATGTTTTGTTGTTGGTTATTTTGATCAGTGGTGCCTGTTGACGATGTTAGGGTTTTTAGAACCATCTTTTTTGGGGGGGTTTTTGGTAACACAATAACCTCAGTTGTAATGTATGGCCACTTCGACGAATGAAATGAAATCTAGTTCCTATTAACCATTGTTTTAATATGATGTTATTCTAATATTTAGTAATGTATTCGAAGTACATTTTGTTATGTTAACTGTATATTGATTTGTTCATGTGGAAGTACATTGTTATGTGAAAGTACATCGTTATGTCGAATTACTTTGTCATATATGTTTTACAATCATAAACAAACATTCATCTTATAATCACAAAAAAAACATTCATGTTACAAATGAAAAACAAACATCCATGCATTCATTAATGTTATAACTTGGTGTTTTAAGGACACACTAACAAACTTAACAAGACCATAACAAACATGAAATAAAGACATCTCACTGTAACTAACATACTCCATAAACAAAAAATACCTTTAATCCAAGTCCATTGGTTTGGATGATGTATCTCCTTCACTGTTTTTGCCCTCACCCTTTTGCCAACTTTTTCTTTATTATCCTCTCTGACTTTTTCCTTAACTTGACTGTACCTTCTTTTTGACTATTCTTCTTATTCACAAAACTTGTTGACCCACATTCACCTTGTCCCGTTTTGAAACCAATTCCACTTCCACCTTCACCTTCACCATTTCCCTTTTGTACACCATTTCTCCTTTGCACTTCACCCTTACCTTTCTTCAATGCACTACCACTATCACATTCACCTTCAACCTTCCTCTTTTTGACCCGACTTTTTTTGGGGCTTTGACACTGCATCACAGGTTGACTTATTGTGGCCTGCTTTTTTACAAACACCACATATAATCTTTTTTCTTGACTTGGATACTGTGTGTGATCCACTAACCTCAGTACTGTCCCTCTTTCTCTTAATAGTGGGTCTCTCTGTTATCTTCCTTTTCAATGGTGGCAAAGGTGGTATGTAGTCTGTTGGGGGCCACATTGCACTCCCATTCATGCTTCCTATTGAGTACTTGTAGGTGTTCATATATATGCAAGTACGATATAAAGGATCAACAAATGCCTCTACATCTCTGTTTACATAAGAAATGGCTGCCACTGAATGTACACAACCATACCCATTCAGTTTCCAAATCCTACAAGTACATGTTTTCTTTTCCAAATCAACACCATAAAACTCTCCTAAGTTTCTTGTTTCAAAGGTATTCAGACCACTAGGAAGCACTTGCCAGTACCTATAAATAAACATAGTTAGCAAGAGCTACTATGGTGAACAAGAGTTTCAGAGAAGAATAAAGTACCTTTGTTGGATCTTCAATTCATTTATGGCAAGCCTTATGTTTGGACATACATCAAAATGTCTCCATCCACTTCCTTTTTATCTCAAACTACACATCCTCTGCATCACATATACACTACAAAAAAATGTCATTTAGTGGCACACAAAAAGTGTCACTAAAAACCCAAAAAAGTGTCACTAAAGGCTTCTTAGAGAATGAGCGGCACATGTAATAAGTGTCACTAGAAACGCTCCCACTAAAACCCTTTAATGACACTTTTTGCTTTTGCCGCTGCAGTTTTTGAGGCTTTTCGTGACACTTTTTTATTTGTCACGGTAGAAGAAAGGTCTTTCGTGGCACTTATTTTGTGCCACTAAATGGTAATTTGATTCAAGAATTTGTATTATTTTTAGTTACACATTTTAAGGTTTTAGCGGCACTTTTTTATTAGCCACAATACAAAAAAAATATTTTATGCACATTTTGTACAGGCAAATACTATATTTTAGACTACTTATATCCACATAACTTTCATCTATAATATAAAATAAAATAAAGAATTAAAGTGTAGTACACAAAAAATAATAAATATTTTCCATCCATCAAACAAAACAAAGATTTTATTTTACATTCAATTGGAATGAACCATTACATTCCTTCGATTTAATCATAAAAGACAAACACCACAGACATCTCTTCTCCATTACCAACCTTTAATTAATGAAATTTGAATGAAAGAATAAAATATTTAATGAAAATCATGAAATTAGATGCAAAAAATCAATTTTTTTCTTACTCCAAGTGAACTTGGCTCCTCTCTCGTTCTCCCATGCTATTGTTTTTACAGCTAATGCTTCCAAGATTCCTATTCCAAAATTAAAGAATGAAAATGATGATGGCCAACAAACAACATTTTTGTAAGGACAAATTGCAGGAATTAGAAACGTACTTTACTAATATAGGCAATGCACTTTCATTTTTACCCATAACAACAATGTACTTAATTTATGTAATTTTTTTCACACAACAACAATATGTAACTCGTAAAAGCAACCTACTTACATTTCAATTACACATATTAGCAATGCAGTTACAATTGTTTTTACTCATAATAGCAATATACTAACATTATTGTTTATCAACAATAGCAATAACGTACGATGTCCATATTTGTAGCAAAATGTAAGCACATTGCTTTTATGTTAAAAATAAAGTATATTGTTATTATCAGTGAAAAATGTAAGTATATTGTTACGGGTAAAAGATAAAGTACACATAATAACAACATACTTACAACTCATTACTAATAATAACAACATACTTACATTCCCTTACCAATAATACCAATATCCAACTAAAAAGTACAATGCCCATACTGGTAGCAAATGCAAGTACATTGCTATTATTAATAAAAATAATAGCAAATGCAAGTATATTGTTTTATTGGTGAAGAAATGTAGATAAATTGCCATTATGGATAAAGTACACAAAGATAAGTAGTATCAAAAGGGTATTATGGTAATATAAATTTACATCAGTTGTAACTCACATCTTTTCAGGAGGCTTTTGTCGTGATTTTTCTCTCTGAAAGGAAACCTATTAAAGCCATGTCAGCATAGGGGTTGGGGGTTGGGGAGGGTGTAAGCTCAAAAGAATAATAACTTACAGTAGTTGTTTGCAAGTTTTACATCGCTTGGTAACCATGGTTAGCATTCACCAAACTCTGGTATTTATTATGCATGTATCATCAGACTTACAATTATAAATTTATAGATACAATATACTAAACATTAATAATATAGACATACATACAGGGTATATATGAGAGCTGAAGACCAAGGGTTGATGGTATTGGTCAACGTTTCTCATGATAGTTGGAGTTGTAGTAACAAAGACTTTGGGGACAACTTGAGTTGCAGTTAGAGTTGGATCATTGAACCCCGTCTAAAACAACATAAATGTAAATTGTAAGTTTTAAGCAAGTTAAAATTAAAGGGATAAAATGGAAGTTTTAAAATAATTACATACAGGTGGACTTTCAAATGCAGGAGATGGAACAAACATGGAAAAATGTTGTGGTGATTGATATTGTGTGTTGTATAAAGGACAAGGTAGTTGTTGATAGCTTTCCTGTTGATAAGAGCTCTCATCCAGAACACAAAATAGGATTCCACGAAAGAGTTTGTTTGCTGGTTTGCACCATATACAACTCCTATTAGTGGTTGAGAGTGAACAACAAAATCAACAAACCATTTGACTTTTTGTCTGCAAATATAAATAACCAAATGTAATAAATACAATTAATGTTATAAAAAATAACAACTTAGCGTGAATTGAGTATAATGAATATCATACCAGGTTGAGATAAAAGGGCAATCCAATCACTTAAGATCACAAGTTCAGGAGCCAAATCTTTTGTGCCCATTACCTTTAAATACTTCATATCTGTTGTCAAAAGTCATTGACTTGCTAAAATCTCAGCATACTTTTCAACAATTTTGCATAAAGAAGCAATAAATCTCTTCTGTCCAGTTGCTAAAGCAAGAACCACAGTCTTGTCCATGAAATCCTAACACGCACACACACACACACACAACACCAATAATTAACAATTACTATTTAAATGTTGAAAAACCTTTATTTACCTGAAGAAGGTAAACATAGGATCCTCCTTTGTGCTCAGTTGTAACATTCTCTGACCAAGTTTCAAATGTTTTTATCAATCTAAACCTGATTGTTCATGTAGCAAATAGAATCGATGAAATAAACAAAAATATAACCTAAATTCTAAACATGATGAAATTAGAACAAAATTGAGAGAGTTTTAGGTAGTGTTGTGGTGGAGCAAAGCTGGACTTTTGGGACAGGTGGCGAGGTACACATATATATTATATATTAAATGAGTGTTTAAGTTTAACCTCGAAATGAGATATAAGAAAATTACCAAATTAGTTTCAAGTTATAAGGCAAAGTCTGAATTTTATCCCCTCATATAACAAAATATTTGTTCTGAACCTTGTTATTTATTTATTTTGCTTTTTGAAGGTAAAGTTACAGTCGATGGTATATAACATATACTTAAAGCATATGCTCGATCAGGAGTCAGTATCATACAAGTTCTAGGATTATTTATGTGGAACATAATAAACAATTTTCTAGTTTATATACATAAAGAAATGTTAAAAACTGCTTCTGATTTCCTCAAATTTCATGAGTTTGTACGACATTGTTGTTTACAAGAAATGCTAAAAACTCTTGCCATTGAATGGTTTAACAAAAATAAAAGGAACAATTTGAGGATAATGAGACGAAGTAGGAAGAAGAGGCATAATGTATTACCTGATAAAAGCACAGACGGGAGAAACAAAACGGTGGAGGTGGGAAAGGACGATGGGGAACAACCGATAGCAGCGACGGAGGAGTCTTTACAACGCAACGATCGATGGGATCTAGAGCACATATGGAGTTAAGAGCATTACGAGTTCAAAGTATCACAATTTCTGGGAGCATTTTGCCTCTTTTGCCCTAACTTGCCATTTGATGGAAATCATAAGTAGGGAACACGAAAAATGAAAAATAACCGGTGGAAAACAACAATGAAAAAGAAAATAATAGCTTAATAGTTTTAATGGCACAAAAAAAGAAGCGATTAAATAAAAATATAACATATAGTGTCATTTGGAATTATTATGTCACTAATATATGATTTATAGTGACATAAAAAAGATAAATACCATGAAAATCATTATTTTTATAGTGGCATTTAGAATGTGCCATTAAAAGCACCATATAGTGGCACAAAAAAAATGTCACTAAAAGATTGTGCCACTAAATGTCATTTAGTTTCTAGTGATAGTCTAGTATCCTCTGGCATTGTAATAATTGGCTTCTTCCTAGATCCAAGATAACATTGTTAAAGCTTTCAGACAACCCATTCTCAACAACATCACACCCCCCTTCCTATTTGAAAAAATGCTCTTGACCATGAGTTTGGATTCCTTCCCATAAGATGCACATAAGCAGCAAGGCTAATCATTTGAATCTCTTTCATTGCAGAATTGAAAAGAGGTTCAATTGATGCCTTACAAGCCTTCCAAAATAATTTTTCATATTGAGCCCCAAAGAATTTCTTCTTGAAGTTGGAAAGAACATGACTGTTACATTGCCTATGTTCTATCTATGTGAATAAATCCTTTATTGCTTCAATTATCCCCTGCATTTACATCATCATAACATTTAGAAGTAGATCACATTTGAAACAAATAAGTCATGACATTATTAACACAAACATACCTTATGTGATTTGACATCAATGTCTTACCAAACCCACCTTCAAGATGCAGATCTTCTTGCAAGTTTTCTAAGAATCATTTTTGGTTGTCTTTATTTTCAACACAAACTACAGCCCAAGCTATTGGGTATATATGATTGTTTCCATCCCTACCAACAACAAATAATAACCGACCAATACACATTCCTTTTAGAAAACACCCATCTAAGTTTATTATCCATCTACAACTACTTTTCCAACCCTCCTTTAGTGCATGAAAACATATATATATATATATATATATATATATATATATATATATATATATATATATATGTATGTATATGTATATATATATGTATGTATATATATATGCATACATACATATATATATATATATATATATATATATATATATATATATATATATATATCTTGCTAAAGTAAGTTTTCTCATCTGGCGTAGAGTTCACAAACAACTTGACTGTTGACCCTGGATTAGACCTTTTTATCTCCTCACCATAGGACCACAACTTTTCATAATTTTCCAGTATGGTACCTTCAACAAGTGACACTGCATGTTGCTTAGCTCTCCTACATTGTTCCATACTAACCTCTACGCTAAATTTAGTCTTTACATCCACTTTTAGCATCCTAACATTGAATTTTTGATTCTCAAGAACTTCCCTGGTGAAATGACTACCAATCCATCTATAATTAACAATTGACCCTAACTTAAAATTTCTTGCACAATTATGGTCATTGATAAGTGACTTGATTTGGAATGAGTGCTCCTCACTCATCCGTGACGCCCATAGCCTAAATATGCATTCACCATCGCAACACTTAACCAATAACCTTTTACTGTAATTTTTTTTCAAAGTACAATTAATACCCATTTGCTACAACATAATTACAAAGCATGGATTTCAATTGTTTAGGGTTGGTGAACCTCATACCTAGAATTGGCAACTACTTCTTCCAAGATATGTCTTCATTAAACATTGATTTTCCTTTCACATCTGGGACATTCTCATCTTCATCATCTTTTGCATCACCTTCTGTGGCATCCTCATTTCCATTTTCCTGACTTACTCCTTCATTGGTTACTCCTTCCATGTTGCTCTGTTGTGGACTCATGAAGTCAGTTAGGTCAATACCTTCTTCCCCTTCGATTGACATGTTTGACTTCACAGAACAATTATCTTCATTTTCATTTTCCTTAGTTACGTGCACAGTAGTACCAAAATGGTCCATGTAAAAGGCAGTTGTACTCCACATCGATAAGCAATGTTTATAAATTCTTGATATTGAAGTTCATTAGAAATCAAGGTTAAACCTTATCGGATTTGTAAATCAGGTTGACAATAATAAAGTTTCTCACACTTCTCTTGTGTGAATCGTTTAAGAAAACCCACAAACTCATTATATGACATACCAACAAAATCGATGTTGTCAAACACACGATGAACACCATCAGAATAGCAAAAAGGTTTGTTGATGAACACACCTTGGAAATGAGGAGGAGGGGTTTCTTCAATGAGGGGGAGGGGAGTGTAGAACGTAATCGATTTATTTAAAACAAATTAATATAAATGTACTACACATGGCCATTTCATTAAATGACCTAGCACCGACATTTTCCTTCGTGGCATGTATATTACCTTTCAACTCAACCCGGTTTCAGGTAACATAAGGGTATCTTAAAACAGGGAAATGAGAGTTTATCCCTTTAATGTGCAAAAAAAAAAAAATAGTTTAGTGACCTTTTAAAACAAACATGATAAGTTTGATGGGCTAATATGACAAGTGACACTGCATTTTGCTTAGCTCTCCTACATTGTTCCATACTAACCTCTACGCTAAATTTAGTCTTTACATCCACTTTTCGCATCCTAACATTGAATTTTTGATTCTCAAGAACTTCCCTGGTGAAATGACTACCAATCCATCTATAATTAACAATTGACCCTAACTTAAAATTTCTTGCACAATTATGGTCATTGATAAGTGACTTGATTTGGAAAGAGTGCTCCTCACTCATCCGTGACGCCCAGAGCCTAACTATGCATTCACCATCGCAACACTTAACCAATAACCTTTTACTGTATTTTTTTTCAAAGTACAATTGATACCCATTTGCTACAACATAATTACAAAGCATGAATTTCAATTGTTTAGGGTTGGTGAACCTCATACCTAGAATTGGCAACTGCTTCTTCCAAGATATGTCTTCATTAAACATTGATTTTCCTTTCACATCTGGGACATTCTCATCTTCATCATCTTTTGCATCACCTTCTGTGGCATCCTCATTTCCATTTTCCTGACTTACTCCTTCATTGGTTACTCCTTCCATGTTGCTCTGTTGTAGACTCGTGAAGTCAGTTAGGTCAATACCTTCTTCCCCTTCGATTGACATATTTGACTTCACAGAACAATTATCTTCATTTTCATTTTCCTTAGTTACGTGCATAGTAGTACCAAAATGGTCCATGTAAAAGGCAGTTGTACTCCACATCGATAAGCAATGTCTATAAATTCTTGATATTGAAGTTCGTTAGAAATCAAGGTTAAACCTTCTCGGATTTATAAATCAGGTTGACAATAATAAAGTTTCTCACACTTCTCTTGTGTGAATCGTTTAAGAAAACCCACAAACTCATTATATGACATACCAACAAAATCGATGGTGTCGAACACAAGATGAACACCATCAGAATAACAAAAAGGTTTGTTGATGAACACACCTTGGAAATGAGGAGGATGGGTTTCTCCAATGAGGGGGGAGGGGAGTGTAGAACGTAATCGTTTTATTTAAAACAAATTAATATAAATGTACTACGCATGGCCATTTCATTAAATGACCTAGCACCGACATTTTCCTTCGTGGCATGTATATTACCTTTCAACTCAACCCGGTTTCAGGTAACATAAATGTATTTTAAAACAGGGAAATGAGAGTTTATCCCTTTAATGTGCAAAAAAAAAAAGTAGTTTAGTGACCTTTTAAAACAAACACGATAAGTTTGATGGGCTAATATGACATTCCGAAACCGAATGATAAAAAACTGATTAAACCTAACCTTATTTGGTTTGGGTATGGTTAATTTAGAGATGTTAGAAAACCCAATACACTGAAAACCAATAAACTAAACCCAATAACACCTCTCAAGAAAAAGAGAAAAAGTTTTGGACGAGAATGCAAGGTAATAAAAACTCTAAAGGGTTATTTTTAGCATCATCCTCAAATTAAAATTAAAATGGGTTGAGAGGCATAATGTTCAAACATTTGATGTATTAAAAAATCCTTGAAAAAAATAAGCTCCCAAAGTAAATGGGTGACATTTATGCTAAAAAAAGATTTAAGTTGTAAGTTGTTAACACTATATTTTTGAAAAATATGAAATTTAAAGCTCAAAATAATACCTAAAAATCTATTCACAATAAATTTATTGGTTAAGTTTCATATTTTACAGGATGAAATTCAATGCCTTCAAGTATGTACATAAAGAATGAGGAAGCAATACGAAACGGACGCATAAATTCGATCCTAACATTATGTTCCTTACAGTTGCTTGTAAATTGATATAGTTCCATCATTAGCCATCCATCATCTCTTACCTGTGCAAGACATGAATTTCGATAGTCTCTCTCCTCGTCTAATTTGTATTTGAAGGGTACATATGTCCCATTATCTATACCAAAATGTTTGAAGACAAGGTTCACGCTGTATGTAATATCCGGTAACAAAAATTGGGTGCTCACATTCACTTTGAAATTATTGTTTATTGTGCACAATAAGACATTCAAAAACCTGCAAACATCACAATCACATGTATTAAATTATAGACAAAACTTCAAAAATGGTCCCTGTGGTTTTCGAAAATATCAAGTTTAATCCCTAAGTTCAAAAAACCTCACAGATGGTCCCTGTGGTTTCAAAACTTTTAACATTTGGTCCTTCCGGCTCACTCTGTTACCATTTAGCCGTTAAGTAAGGGGTATTTTTGTCATTTCACTACCCAGGGACTATTTTTGAAGATTTTCCTTATTTAAAAAAAAGAAAAAAAATATAATTATTTAATATTAATGGGTCCCACCCCGTTCTCTCTCTCTCTCTCTCTCTCTCTCTCTCTCTCTCTCTCTCCCCCCCCCCCACCGTTCCTACTTCTTACTACCATCACCATTCTTCCACCCCTTTCTTTAAATCGCCGCCGAATTCCATTCTTTTATTTGATCTGAAACAGATTTCCATGGGCCCTTTTTATTATGAATACAGATTCGATAGGTGATGAACACTATGGTCGTTCTTTTCTCCTTTCCTAAGTATAATGGTTATAATTCCCAGATCAACACTATACACTGGTTTAGTGTCAAGTATAATAGTGGTGTGGAATGAAGTTGGATATAACAAAGGAAAAGCTGGTGGAACAGGGCAATGTTTTGGTTCTGTTATTTTATCGAACACTTTATGTGCGTAGCTCGGTTGATAATTTATAATGAATGAATGCAAAATGATTCATCCATACCTTAGTATATGAAATCCAACAGATAACAGGGGAATGTGCAGGGATGAAGGTATGAAATTGAGGAGATTAACAAACAAGCTTTTGTTAATAAGAGAAATGCATAAATGCTTCTATTTTGTAAATAATTGGGTTAGGCTTAAGCTCTTCACAATTGAAATCTCTGCCGCACTGTAACCCCTTCACTACCCGCTTTAACTCCTCCAACACTTCCACCTTCTTCTTCACCGCTTCCTCCTCCTCCTCCTACAACTCCGACATCCTCAACAACTCTGAAAGCTTGTCAGACTTGTAACTCTTACAGTTGTTATAGCTCTTAATCACATCAGATCTGTATTCGGATCTCTTACTCTCCTCCTTCGGCTTCTCCATCACCGGAGACATAACAGTTTCGTGGTGGCGATACCTGCCTCCACCGCATCTCATTGTAGCAATGATTCTACGACGACATGACGACCAAAACTTGAAATTCCCACCACCAACTCCAGCGGTGGTGGGGTGATGGTCTAGAACAATTGATCCCAAGTTGTTTTGATGAAGCTTTCCCATTTGATTTGACACCCTTTACTCTAAACCCATGAAATCAATCGTACATCACCTATGAACACCTTTTTTATAAACACGACCTTTTTATGTGGATCAATACGTAAAACCTTCACACACACACACACACACAGAGATGAGAGAAGTAGAGAAGTAGCAGAGGAGTAAATGTTGAGAGGTGAAGCTTCTGTGGTCTTGTGTGTGTATGTGTGTGCGTTTGTGTAAGAGAGAGAGAGGAGAGAGAGAGAGAGAGAGAGGTGGGACCCATTAATATTAAATAATTATATTTTTTTTCTTTTTTTTAAATAAGGCAAATCTTCAAAAATAGTCTCTGGGTAGTGAAATGACAAAAATACCCCTTACTTAACGGCTAAATGGTAACGGAGTGAGCCGGAAGGACCAAATGTTAAAAGTTTTGAAACCACAAGGACCATCTGTGAGGTTTTTTGAACTTAGGGATTAAACTTGATATTTTCAAAAACCACAGAGACCATTTTTGAAGTTTTGTCTAAATTATAACATTTCACTCATTCATGCATTTCATTATTGAGAATAATGGAGGCTTTTGTCTTTGGTTAATTTAAATGTTAACACTTGTATAAAAATAACTTAAATTGTCGGATTAATTTCACAGAAACAATGTAAAATATATAATTCTGTTAATGGGTGGAGAGTAAATATATGCCTATATATGGATATGATAACAACTACTGTATATTACAAACAAGAATTACATTCTAAAATAGGTTACGAACACCAAGCTAATCAGTAGCTTAATAAAGACCCAATGGAAACTATATAGTAGAAATTAAATTAAATCAATAATTTAATTATAATTAATATGATTTAATATTATTTATGAAGATTGCACATTTTAAAAAATAAACCATTTTTTTACATAAATCTTTTGGTTCACATCTTATTTTAAAGATATAGAAAAGACTGTAAGGATTTTTAAATTTTAAAAAACAAAAGCACCTATATATTAAGTATTGAGAAATATCTTAAAGTAAAGGGTACCTAGTCAACGTTGAAGAGATAAATCTATATGTATTCAGAATAAGAAATAGGAAAGGTATGTGGCTTAGAAAACTCCGTCTTCCATAAAAGTTGAAGAGGACTAATATAAATTTATTTTAATAATTGATCAACTAAAAGAAAAAAAAAAGCAGAAAAATAAAGTGATGTTTTTATATATAATTACCGACAAAAAACTTAAATGTGAGAACATATATAGGAGATGAGAAAAAACGTACTTTTCATAAATATTTTCTTTATATAATTTATTAAAACAAAAGAGAAGGGAAACCAGTAGCTAATAAGCATATTTACTAACCTCGAATCTTTTGTGGCATAAGGTTGCAGTTGGTGTTCAGAGATACACGTTTTTGAACATATCATTTCGACAACTTCTCCACTGTTATTTATTGATATCCACTGCCCAACAAAACAATTCAATTTTAAAAAACTGTTGTGAATAAATAATAAAGTAAAGTTCAAATATTTTCGTTATTCAAAGTGGAAGCATATTATTGGTTTACTGTTTTGCCATCGTCAACAAGGAATCCTTTCAAGAAAAGCGTGTAAAGTTGACTTTGAGATTTGTAAGATAGAGGAGCTACTGCAAGATGAGCAATCCTGATCATTTCTTCAAAGTCCAATTTCTTTCCGAGATCTTCAAAAACCTCCTGTATAAATATTATATTTCAAGAACAATCTTGAACAATAAATCTAAACTTGGAAGAAATCGAACTAGATAGAACACTTACTTGTTGTTTAAGTGCAAACTCAAGTTCTTTCACTATTTCAGCCGTCGTTGGTCGTTTCTCAGAAGCTTTCTCAAGACATTTATATGCGACGGAAGAAAAGGACTCCAAAGAACTCGATCCCATTTCTTCTTTTAGACCATGGAAGATAATCTCATCTAATCTCTTCTCTTCATAACATTTTTTCCATTTAGGCACTAAAATTGTTATCTTATCATTAGAGTACTCGTAACATAACTTCCCACACATTACTTCAAACAACACCACTCCAAAAGAGTAGACGTCAGATTCTTTTGATAAAAATCCCGTTTCCAAATACAACGGATCACAATACCCAGGCGTACCAACAGCATTGGAGAAAAGATACGTTTGTGGTTGGTTAGCAGGGCCAAGTTTTGACAAGCCAAAATCAGAAACTTTAGCTGTCCATTTCTCATCTAGAAGGATGTTTGAACTTTTGATGTCTCGATGAAGAACTCTTTGTTGTGTCTCCATGGGATCATGAAGAAAGTTTAGTGCACGTGCAGCGCCAATACATATCTTCAAACGTTGGCTCCATGTGACACTAATTTGGTTTAGATAGCGATCGAGGCTCCCACGAGATGCATACTCGTACACAAGGATCCTTTCATCACCCTCAATGCAAAAATGCATAAGAGGGACCAGATTTTCATGTCTATATTTGGAAAGCGTAATGATCTCCTTCCAAAACTCTATATTCCCTTGACCTAGTCTGCGATCTAAGCGCTTAAAAGCAACCGTAGTTCGTCCCTCCGGGAGAGATAACTCCCCATTGTACACGACTCCAAACCCACCCTTTCCAATTCGCTTGCTTGCACTAAAGTTGTCGGTGGCTTCTGTTATGTCCTTCAGCTGAATTTTGAGGTGATCAAACTCTTCCATGTAAGAGATTATAGGGCGATCAAAGAAATATTACAGAAGAAGAAAATAAGACAGGTTGAAACAATTATAAGTGAAAAGGTAGAATGATGTATTAAAGAACCATCCTTATTTCTTTCACTCTTTGTCGGCTTTACATTTTAGATTGTTAAAGTTTTCCGGGTCAATGTTTTTCTATTACACGGCTATATATACTTTTGAGATTGCTAAAGCTTTTTGAATCAATAATAATTTGTAGAAAAATTAACAATAAATTTTAATTTTTTTAATAGAAAATTCTAAAAAACCTGTTAATTCTTTTATTTATGCATTTTTTGATATGTTCGCGTACGTGGTAGGTACTTAGGACTGGATCATTAATTTTTTCAAAATAATAATTTTTTTTTCTATAGATTTCTTTAAAATTTGTATATAATATATAAATGTATTTTTAAATATTTATATGTATTTTTACATATTTTTATATTTTTTTTACATATTTATGTATTTTTTAAGTTTTTTATATACAGTTTTATGTATGTTTATATTTTTTAAATTTATAAACATATTTTTTTATGTATTTATAGGTATTTTTAAGTATTTTTATGTACTTTGTGTGTATATATATATATATATATATATATATATATATATATATATATATATATATATATATATATATATTATTTCAAGTGGCCTTCCAAGTAATTCTCAAAATTCAACCATTCAAGCACCATTGTCTTTACCATTTCATCCAATTCCCACACGCTCTTCTAGTATGTCTGGTTGGTTTCCTGAATACCCGCATACTTTAACCTTTTCTTATTCGCTTATTTTGTATTTAAACTATAAATTTATATAAAATATATATATGCACATACAAAAACTTGAGGTTCCTTTTATGAAGAAATATTCAAACGACGATGGGTTCAGAATTACAAGAAAAGTCACTTGTAGAAACAATTTTTTTCGTTTCTAAATGTATTGATTTTGTTCCTATAGACCGTAGAAACAAAATTTTGTTATTGTGAGTGTTTTGTTGCTATAGGCTCGATGCTATAGGTCCCGCCTCCTTTTAAAAACAAAACTTTTGTTTCTATAGATTATTTATTTTTCATTATTTTAATACTTCCTGGAACAAACAAATTTTTTTTAAATTTATTTCAAAAATATTTGAAATCTTTTTCAAAATTTTGTACAAAAATATTTTTATTTAGATTTCCGGATTTTGTACCAAAATATTTTAATTATATTTCCAGATTTTATACTAAAACATAATATTATCTATTAAATCCAAAGCTAACACAAAAGTTAACATCCAATTTGATACAAACCGTTCAATGTATTAAGAAAACAAAATCATGCAATGTCTAAATTGTCAAATTACTCCTCATCGCTAGTATTTTCTTGGTCATTTGTTTCTCGAAATTGATGAAATCCTAGTATTGGATCATTGAATTGCATCGACGGTTGGTAGTTGGGATAATGAATAATAAAATTTTCAACATTATCTTAACAATTACATCAGACATTCATACGATAAGAAGAAAAATAAAATATTTCAACAAATATAACACACATTTTAAGATCAATTTTATATATATAAAAAAACAGATTGGTGAATTAAATTCTAATACTCTACCAAAACTCAATGACCACTATATGAAAGTGATCATCAAATGTGAGACTGAAAGTTTCTTCTAGCTTCCTTGTTCGCTTGTTTAACACCATATAGGCTACAGAATTTTGAGAATATCCCAAGAAAATTCATTCATCAACTTTTGACTGAAAATTGGAAAGATTATCCCTGAGATTCATGATGAAACATCTGCATCCAAAAACATGGAAAAATTTAACATTAGGTTTCCTTTTCTTTATAATTTCATAAGGTGTTATGTTAAAACGACGATGAATGAAAGAACGATTTTGCGTAAAGCAAGTAGTCGAAACCCCTCTGCCGAAAAGTATTGTGGCAAGTTTGCATAAGTGAGCATCGTTCTCGCCGCTTCACACAAGGAACGATTCCTCCTTTCGACAACACCATTTTGTTGCGGTGTGTATGGGGACGAGAAATTATGAGATATGCCTAGTCCAGTAAAAAATGAATCCAAAATTCGATTTTTGAACTCCTTTCCATTGTCGTTCTTTATCTTTCAAACTTTCATTTTTAAGCTCAATTCAATGTTCTTGATAAAATCAATCATCACTTGAGCATTTTTAGACTTCTGTTGAAGAAAGAAAACTCAAGTAAACCTTAAAAAAATCATCAACAATAACTAGTATGTATTTATTCTAATTGAGAGACTCAACAATCGAAGGTCCACACAAGTCAATGTGAAGAAATTCCAAAGGTTTAATGATTTTTAATCAATTATGATCAGATGACCCTGACGATGTTGTTTTCCCTGTTCAAATGCAACACACAACAAATCATTGTCAAATTTCAAAACAGGTAAACCACGAACAAGATCATCAAGAACACGTTTGTTTAAGTTTTTTAAGTTGAGATGAGAAAGAATTTTATGCCATAACCAACTTAGATCCGAAGATGCTTTCGATAGAAAACACACCGAGGGAATGCCCACAATTGGTTTCATGTCAAGAGTGAATATGTCTCCCTTTCGTTTTGACTTCAGCAGGATCTCGTATGTTTCCTTGTTGGAGATAATACTTCCTTCATCATAAAAAAAAAGAAAAAACCAGATTTCCTGTTCCAACAACTAGTTGCGAAACACTAATCAGATTGTGCTTTAAACCTTCAACATAAGTGAATCGATTCACAGTGAATTTCCCGTTCGTCACCTTTCCATAACCTTTGACTTTACATTTTTGGTTGTTTCCAAACTTGACAACTCCAACATTTTCCAACTTTCGAAAATCTATCAAATTTTCTTTCCTCCTAGTCAAGTGACGCGAGCATCCACTATCGATGTACCACTTTTCATCATATTGCTCGTCATATAGTACCTGCAATCAGTTAGAAGAATTTAGGTCCCAAAGACCTTTTGGGTCCTTGGACATTAGTTTGAAACACACTGTTCAATGAAGAACCTAAAACCCATTTACGAACTTTTGATTTGAAATTGTCAATTAAGTCCATTTCACTTGCTTTAGGCATCAAAATATAATCATGCAATGGGGAATGTTCAACTTTGATTTTAACTTTTTCATCCTTTTTCTTAGAGGCATCAATTTTCTTCTTTGAAATTTCGTTCCACTTTCGTACTGTTGGTGTAGACTCCTGAGATGAAGTACTTCCATTTATTGAATCATTCAAGTACTTCTCATAAGCATTTTTTATTTGCTCTTGAGAATACTTTCGTGATTGATCTTGTTTTCCTTTTCCTTCAGGCCAATGGTTGATGTTCTTAACATCACTTCTACCTTTTGTGAATGAAGCTTTCATCTTCTGTGTCGAATCAGGATTTGGAAAAAATGGGTTTTTAGAAAAGTCCAAAAAATTACTGACTTTTTTCCTTTTTTGATATACTTGGTAGGTACTTAGGACTGAATCGTTAATTTTCCCAAAATAATAAGAATTTTCTACAGATTTATGTATTTTTATTTCAAGTGGCCTTCCAAGTAATTCTCCAAATTCAACCATTCAAGCACGATTGTCTTTACCATTTCATCCAATTCCCACAGGTTCTTTGAGTATGTCTGGTTGGTTTTCCTGAATACCCACATACTTTAACCTTTTCTTATTCGCTTATCTTGTAATTAAACAACAAATTTAAAAAAAATATATGCACATACAAAAACTTGAGGTTCCTTTGAGGAGGAAATATTCAAACGACGATGGGTTCAGAATTACAAGAAAAGTCACTTGTAGAAACAATTTTTTTTGTTTCTAAATGTATTGATTTTGTTCCTAAAGACCGTAGAAACAAAATTTTGTTACTGTGAGTGTTGTTGCTATAGGCTCGATGCTATAGGTCCCGCCCCCTTTTAGAAACAAAACTTTTGTTTCTATAGCTTATTTATTTTTCGCTATTTTAATACTTCCCGGAACAAACAAATTTTTTTAAATTTATTTTAAAAATATTAGGAATCTTTTTCAAAATTTTGTACAAAAATACTTTTATTTAGATTTCCGGATTTTGTACCAAAAACATTTTAATTATATTTCCAGATTTTATACTAAAACATAATATTATCTATTAAATCCAAAGCTAACACTATAGTTAACATCCAATTTGATACAAACCGTTCAATGTATTAAGAAAACAAAATCATGCAATGTCTATATTGTCAAATTGCTCCTCATCGCTAGTATTTTCATGGTCATTTGTTTCTCGAAATTGATGAAATCCTAGTATTGGATCATTGAATTGCATCCACGGTTGGTAGTTGAGATAATGAATAATAAAATTTTCAACATTATCTTAACAATTACATCAGCGTTCATACGATAAGAAGAAAAATAACATATTTCAACAAATATAACACACATTTTAAGATCAATTTTATATATATACATATAAAAAAATATATTAGTGAATCAAATTCTAATACTCTACCAAAACTCAGTGACCACTATATGAAAGTGCAAATGGCTAAAAGCTAAAACCAAATCCATGTATTGTGGCACCAAAGCTAAAGTTATCATCTATGTATATGCATTTATAAAACATATGACAGTTTTATGCAATCAGTTGCTAAAACCAAACACTCTTTGTACTAGAACTTATGTACCAACATATTTTTCACCATGAGTTGCTTTGTATGTATAGTTAGAAGTGATGTACCAAAACTTATAAGTTGATTTGCTTGAAATTGAAATCCTGAACATCAAATGGAAAGTTTACGCTAGAAATCATGGCATTAGAAGCTATGACATTTCAGTAGCATGAATACAAACAAATCGGTGAAACAAGGTTGAAAGAAAAGCAGTTAGGAGAAGAGGGAAGAATACTTATCCGAGATGCTTTTTCGCCGACAATGCTACCTTTGCCTTGGTTGCCGGTCTCTCCTTCCTGATTGTCATATAGGTGTAAGGGAAGAAAGGTTGAAAGAAAAGCATGTCGAAGAAAAGGGATAAATACATATCAAAGATGCTTCATCGCCGACAGTTCTTTGTTCGCATGAGATAGTTGATCGGCGATGTTGTCTTCGACTTGCTCCCCCAGTGTCTCCTTCTGATTTTAGTTTGGGTGCAAGTGAATAAAGGTAAAGGAGTTGATCTTTAGGGTTAGGTGCAAAAA